TCTGAAAAAATGTTTTGATCCCGATGCTATGGCATACATTTTTTGCCTGCTTTGTGCTTTAAGTGTCATGGTTTCTAGGTAACATAGCTTATGCTGACTGAGAGGCGGTGACTGCCTGAGTTGTTCGATTATATAGTCAAATTCTTTTGTCCTTGTTATTTTCATGGTCTCAAAAATACCCAATCAAGGTAGACCAGGTCCTTCAGAGGACGCAGCTGCCAAATTCAAAGACACCATAAAAGTTTGGCCTTGTTTTGGTCTTTTCAGCATAGGTCCCAACCCCTACTTTCCCAGCAGTTTTAAAAAAAATACAGCAAGGCCTCCCCTGCATTGTTGCAAACTCATTGACATTGCGACTTTCCCTGTTGTAGAGAGGGAAAACAGGGACTCCGATGAAGCAGCTGCAGCCTGTATTTCCAGTCATAGAGCAGAGCAACTCATTGAACATGAGTCACACATGTGCAAATCTTCCACTGATCCCTCCTGAGTTAAAAATCAGAATGCTAATGTAATATTTATTTGCTATAAAACTGGGGCAGTGTAAAAGAAAAGGGCAAAGGACGACCCCAGCATCTTAGGGCAGGAAAACTGTTATTTTTTAGAATGGGTATAATAAAGATATTTCTGTGATGTGACAAATGACACCACAAAATTATCTACACTTTATTATTTGATATTTTGGTACCTCTAGTAATATTTTTTTTCATTTACAAATTTATTTTCTCTTTGACAAGTATGGATTGACCACTCAAATTGATTTTAATATAATATAATAAAGAATAACTAAAAAGCCCTATCAATTGCTGCAGGTTTTTCTCATTTTCTTAACCGTGAAACAATATTTTGGTCTTAACAGATGATATTCCTCATTTTTAAGATAGGCAGCTCTGCCATCCCTGCAGACATGCTCAAAGCTGTTTGTTTTGAATGAATCACCAGCATTTGGTCACGTCTCAGCTCTTACCAGATGGTTAAAATATCTACTGTTCCTATCTGTCATATGGAGTGGTTCTCAAAGGAGACCACAGAGGCTGAGCAGAGGCGTCTATTTCTTCCTGTGACTCATCTTCCACCTTCTGCCTGCTCATTTTGACACTTAACTGGATTCTGATAAGTTTTCTTTTCCTATTTTGTCTTGCAGCTCAGACACTTTGCATTTAAAAGACATAAGGACGAGGGTAGGAACGAGCACAAACAATCATGACAGATTAATGCTGGTTGCTCTACCGTTAAATTTGTATCAGGATTATATTGAGACTGTGTGATCTGACGCAGAGAGTTACTGTATACACTCTAAACACTTCAATAGCAGGGAAAAAATCAAAAACCGACTTTGTCATCTCCAAGGAGGTCAGTCCTGCTGTTACAGTCAAGTTAGTCCATGGGGATTTTGGCTACAGATCCTGTTTTTATGCTGTGTTGGTGTTTTGGCTGAGAGAAGGAATTCTGAGGATAGGAACAAGAGCCCCTTTTTCAAAATAGTCATCAGCTCATGCTGCTAGCTGCTGAGTGTGTTTCTGGCTTGAGGTGCAAAACGCTCATTGACATGTCATTTAATTTCTAAAATGACAGCTCCACAGTCAGCTGTCATCTTTTCCCTTGTTTCTATTATTCTCTGACTATGAACAGAAAAAACTTTGATCGCGACCAAATTTCAAAGGAATGGAGGAACTAAGGATGCTTGGACAGATGCAGACAGAAGCTTTTTTCTTTTTTTTTTTCAGTTGTCGGTGAGCCACTTTGTGTCATGTGGATGACTGCTTGTCTGTATTCATACCATCCACTGGATGTTTGGCAATTTTCTTAGACATCCAAAGTCACATAATCATTTCAGTATACTATTTGTCAAATTTTGCAACCTACATTTTGAAATTTGCTCCTTCTGTATACTTAGTTCAAACAGAACATCACTTACATTATATCTTGATAACACATAATCAATCCTAATTGATACATTTTTGAATTGTTCTGTAGTTATACCAACCTAGTGTACAAATAATGATGATGCTCTGCCGCAACTCACCATAAACATAAAGATTTATATTTTAATAAGATGTGTTCTAGGTCCCGAAAAGATTGAAGCACTACTAAAAATAATATTTTCTTTGCTTTTGAGAACATGTTCCCTGAAATGGCAAGATAAAAATGGAAACCTTTGTAAGGTAATTTCAATCTGAAAAACTCACACAGAGAGAAAGATAATTAGAAGAGTTTTATTGATAAGAAAGTATAGTCTTTGGTGCTCAGACCTCGGCCGGAACATTCATGCTGAATTATGCTTTAACATGCATGAGTAGATGAAAGAGAATAGGGATGTTCCCCCTGGCCTGAAACTGGTGGTGGTTCAATTCGAGCTGGTTGACAAGGTGATCTGCTTGAGCAGAATTGTGGGACTAGAAGACTGAGGGAGCTGACGCCGGGGCTTCACTCAGAGACTCGGGATATAGAGGTCCTGCTTGGTGATGCAGGTACCGTGGACTGTCCATGATGAGCAAGCATGAAGCGACAGTGGAGAGGAAAAACTCCCCCTTGGGAAGAAACCTCTGGCAGAACCGGGCTCAACATGGTGGTCTTCTGCCGGACCAATGCAGTGAGATGAGGGATGGTGACAACTGGGATTAATACTCTCTGATGAGGTTGAGGTGAAGTCGTGTCATGCAGGACGATTCAGCTGCGATGGCGGAGAGGGGGATGGAGGTGGGTGAATTGTCATCTGAATCGAAATCCGACATTGCGATTGCAGGATAGCGGGCTGGGATGAGGATTTGAAGAGTTTATAAAGTGAAAGCAGGACGCTGATTGGGCTTCATGGTGGAGTAGTTCGAAGCTGATTGGCTCGCTTCGGAGACGGATCAGCTTCTGATTGGATGGAGGTAAGCCAGAGTTTCTTCAATTGAACTTCCGCTAGAGCTTCATTTCAACTTTTTTGTTGTTTCAGTTCTACTCCGCAGCCAATTTGTTCTT